AAAATATCATGAAAAGTAGTTAAATTAATTAGTTATGGATTCAAGATTTTATAACATTTTTATTGAAATTATGCTTAAACACAATTTAATATAATTTTCTATGTTTGTTTTATTTATTTATTTTACGTTGCACTACATTTAGTCACCACCGACAACAGCGCATTCGAACCTTTACCTGCATTTACTACAGGATAAATACAGCAGAGGCGGACAGCTCTTTCCAACAACAAGCGAAATGAAAAATATTTATGCGACGTCAGCAAATCGGCGCGTTTTTAAATAATTCAAATTTTGGTAGTTTAAAATGCCTGTAAAAAACTTACTTAACCTTGCTGAACATTTTTTTTTGGTATATGTGCCTAAAATATTCCCTCCTTTGGGATTTTATACCTAAATTACGTATTTAAATTTTAGTGAAAGAGCCCATTCATTCAAACTCATTCAATTTGGGTTTATTTGGAAGAGAATTTCATTGTTATCAAGAACACCACTTCGTTCAAGGTCGATAGTTCCCACCGCGTCTTCTAGAGGGCGCTGTTTATTCAAGATCCAGTTTTTTCTAATTTTCATGAAAAATCCAAATGGCATAATATTATTTTTGTATTGCTGTGCTTAAATAGCAAAAAAATATCTACATTTTGGCGCAAACCGCAATTCAATATCTGCATTCGTTTTCAAGTTACGTAAGGTCTATGGTCTCCATAATATCGTACCTGGCCGACCTTAGTGGGACACCCTGTACATATATGAAAAAATAGACAACTCGGATATTCACACAAGTGAAAATGAATTCGGAAATGAAGAAGTAAATAATAGAGGAGAAAGACTATATTCGAACTGCTGCTATGCAGTATACAGGGTGTTCCAGCCGAGAGTCACCCATTTTAAATGTTTTTAACTTTTAAACCAGGTGTGCTAGCTACCTGCGGTTTGCACCATTCGATTTCTCTTGGTCTGGTCAGTTTTGTAAGTTTTTTCTAGTAGGTTGCAATTTTTTTTGAAACCTATAGAAAGCGAGTAAAAAAAAATCCGTTTTTCAACATCAAAATTCTACACTATTTTTAATGGAACACCCCTGTGGCCTGTATATCACAACGCCAAAAAAAAAGACTCATGTTTAATAAGGTATCCATGTACGAATAGACATCGTCTCTGAAACTTGAAGTTTTAGTCGTAAACAATCAAAATTGAAATCATGATGGTATTTTTGCAAACACATATTTTTAAAGCTTGGAACTTATGTTTGCCTAATAAAAACGGCATAAAACTATTAAAAATGCTGCACATGTATTTATTAGCCATTCTGTTCCAGGCATTTATGAATGAATTGTGTAACATTTTCTGGAGAATCGCTTCAATGGCATTACAAATGTTTCGCTTGAGATCTTCCAGGCTATTTGAGCTATCGAGCAAAGTATTAGCGCATCTTTCCTTGACATAACCCTAGAGAAAAAAGTCTAAAACTCTCAAGTCAGGAGAGTAAGGTGTCCATTCTATAGGACCAGCTCTCCTTATCTGTCTTTCCCCATATGTCATATCTAGTGATTCTCTTGCTATTAAAAGAATAATGAGGTGGGGGCACCAGCCTGCTGAAAATAGATATTGTCCAAGATACCCTCCTGTCTTAACTGTGGGAAAAAGAACATATAAGTGTATACAGTTTCTGTCATCGTTGGTTCATTAATGAAAATGTTTTTTTTTTTTTCAATATAGATTGCACACCAAACTGTTGGGGTATCTCTATTTAACGAGTTTCACAGTAAATAAATACTCTGGAACTCGTTCAATTTTCTTGGAAAATGTTTTTTAAATTAATTGATATCTAACTAGACAGTTACAAAATTGTTTTCCATAGTGATATCAAGTACCTACAACATGAAGTTGCATGCATTTGCAAAAATACGGAGATTTCGATTTTGATTTTTTACCTCTAACTTCAAGTTTTAGGGACGATGTCTATTGATATATGGATACCTTGAACATGAATCTTTTTTTTGACGTTGTGATATACAGGGTATTCCATTAGAAATAGTGGAGAATTTCTATGTTGAAAAACGGATTTTTTTTACTCGCCCTGTATAAGTTTCAAAAAAATTTGCAACCTACTAAAAAAACTTTAGGCCAAGAGAAATCGAATGGCACAAACCGCAGGTAGCTAGCACACCTGGTTTAAAAGTTAGTTATAAGCATTTAAAATGGGTCACTCTTAGCTGGGACACTCTGTATTATGTTATGATACTGCGCGGTACATCGGAAAAGTACGGCATACAGACAACAAGAAAAGCAGTGAAGTTTCTAAAATTGAACGTGTGCCAGTTTAGATGGCCTGAAAAAGATAAAATTGATGATCTCATCCATTTGATTTAGATCAGAAAGATTTAAATAATATGAAAGAAAAACATACAAGTTTTAAGAAATAGGGAATACCTATGTACTGCAATAACTTGCAATAGTTCACAATAATCACAATGGTTTGCAATACCTTGAAACATTTGGCAATAGAATAGGTTGCAATAGTCCACAATACTCTGCAATACCTGAGTATTGCACAATATATACAGGGTGGAATTTTTAAATGGAATAAAATTAGTATCAGAAATCCTGTTTATTTTCTGGAAAAATAAAAAAAACGGGTCTCTTTATTTCCAGTTTCGCAATTTTTTTCAGCCTTTTTATGGAATTTACCCTTCTCTTGCATTGTGATAGCTCATTACAATGGGAATAAAAAAAGGAATATGACCCATTATTTACTTTTGCATTTCGGTGATCTAGTTATGTAATTCTTTTTGACATTATCGCACTATTTTAGGGTTGAGAATCCGAGTATCAGGCATCAAATAGTGTGTTACCATCAGAAATAATTACATAACGGTACAAATTGGGCTTGTTTCGCATAGGGTTCTACCAAAAAAAAATGCTGAAGACATTCAACAATTTTAACTGTAAGAAAATTGTGTGGAAACATATATTTTTCTACGAGCGTGCATTTTTTATCACTTTCCCGCACGCATCTTAGCTCCGAAAATGTCACTTCCCGGTTAGGAAAATAACTATTTAATTTTTTTCTCGCTTCCTAGATCACAGAAATGCAAAAGTAAATAATGTGTCATTTTCCTTTTTTTACGCCCATTCCAACGAGCTATCACAATACATATCTTTACATGTGAAAAAAAAAAGTTGGGGGTAGTTTCTACCCTGAAGAGAGAGGTAAATTCCACGAAAAGGCCGAAAAAATGTGCCTAACTTAAAATAAAGGGACTGTGTTATTTTTCCAGAAAATAAACAGGCTTTCTGATACTGAATTTATTCCATTTAAAAATTCCACCCTGTATACAAAACTTTAGTGAAATTCCTCTCGTATACGAATCATATGAAGATACATGGATGAAAAAACATTAGGAATAACTTACCTGGCGAATTTTGAAACAGTGTTGAAATATCGGATAATTTTTTGGGGGAGGCATAATTTAGCACAAAGCGTATTTGTCGCGTAAAATTACATCTCAAAGCAAATATGAAACACGAACATAGAAGTGATGTACCCAACACACAAACCTACACTGACTGAAAGATGCCCCTGCCCCCTAGTACATGTGTTTGAAGTTATTCAACGCCTTGCCTCAAGAACTAAAGACAATACTTGAGTGCATCAAGAATATTTAAAAAACGCCGAAGGAAATACTTGGTGAAATTAGAACCTTAAAGTTTGAAAGATTTTTGTAGTAATTCGTAAAATTAAAGCAGCATTTGCTTTGTGACGCCGTTTCACTGCAAAAACAGACTCAGTGTCATTTTTAAAAAAAATTCAATATTCGATAATTTCTATTTTGAAGCCTCTCAGGTGCAAAGCTGTTGAAACCAAATTGAAATCTTTAATTGATAGTAGAGAATTCAATTGGCTTTAATTAGAACTTAATTATATTGAATTTGGATGAAAATTATCAGAGCTGTGAGGCAGAAGCTTTCTCAGTGTTATTTTTGGAAAATTTTCAATGTTTGATAATTTTAATTTTTAAGCTTCTGAAGTGCAAAAGTGTTGTAACCAAATTAAAATTTTAATAAATATGTTTAAAGAGAATTTAATTAGAGCCTAATTCAATTAGAGCTTAATTACATTCAAATCGGATCAAAAACTAACAGAGCTGTAAGGCAAAAACTGTCCGTCATTTTTGGAAAATTTTCATAGTTCGATAATTTCCTTCTCAGGGGCAAAACTGTTGAAACTAAATCATATCTTAATTAACAGAGCCTTATTTCGTTGAAATCCGATAACAATAGTCAATAATTCTAGGAGCTGGGAGGCAAAAAACTGTCTCTGGGTCATTTTTGGAAAATTTTCAATGTTCGATAATTTCAATTTTGAAGTTTCTCAGGTGCAAAACTGTTCAAGTAAATATACAATTTTATCCATGTAGTTAAGTGAACACAAAACCCCATTGGAAAAGCCTACAAAATCACAAAAACTATCAGAATAACCGGCAAAACAAAAACCCAATTAAAATGCTCAAAAACCTGGGTTTTCGCCAACTCTGTGCCAAGTCAGCATTAATAGTCGGCAACTGTGCACCCTAACACCGAGTTTTGATAAAATACAACATCAAACTAAGAATTTATTCAATTTGTTTTAAAATACCTACGTTATCCTTCTTCCACCAGTGGATTTTTATTAAAGCAATATCGAAATTTCATAAGAAATCCTTAGGGTACCTATTTATCTTTTTATCCTTCTTTTAGGACTAAAATAATTGGTAATTATTTTGATCTAAATGGCTGTTCTAGAAATTTGGGAGACAAAAATAACAACAACAAACAAAACAAATAATCATCATAACCTAGAAAAATCTATTTTGCTTTGGAATCTTCCTACTTTTCTTCTTGCCATCCTTGTCTGTTGCATTGCATGCATGTCACATTCTCGCTTCGATCTGCTTCTAGAAAACTCGGGCCGATTCGGGTCCATTCGACAGGACTATATAAGGCTCTCGGCTTCGCGGGCTTTTCAGTTGAAATCAAACCAGTGACAGTGATAAAAGCAAAAACTAGCAATCAAAAGCAAAGTAAACGCTCGCGTAAAAAGTAAATCGGAAAGTATTGATAGTCTAGTGTTTTAACAAGTGAAGTGAAGTTAATCGAAATGGCAAAGAAAGCTCCAGCAATTGGTATCGATTTGGGCACCACGTACTCCTGTGTGGGTGTCTGGGAACATGGAAAAGTAGAGATCATCGCCAACGACCAAGGAAACCGAACAACTCCTAGTTATGTCGCCTTCACGGACACCGAGCGCCTTCTTGGAGACGCTGCCAAAAATCAAGTGGCCATGAATCCATCGAACACAGTCTTTGATGCTAAAAGGTTGATTGGTCGCAAATACGACGACGAGAAAATCCAACAAGACATCAAACATTGGCCATTCAAAGTAATCAGCGACAATGGCAAGCCTAAAATCCAAGTCGAATACAAAGGAGAAATCAAAAAGTTTGCTCCAGAAGAAATTAGTTCCATGGTCTTGACAAAAATGAAAGAAACTGCAGAAGCATACCTCGGTCAACCAATAAGAGAGGCAGTTATCACAGTCCCGGCATATTTTAATGATTCTCAAAGGCAGGCTACTAAAGATGCTGGCGTCATCGCAGGTTTGAATGTCATGAGGATCATCAACGAACCTACTGCAGCCGCTTTAGCATATGGACTCGATAAGAACCTGAAAGGCGAAAAAAATGTACTCATCTTCGACTTGGGTGGTGGTACATTTGATGTTTCCATCTTAACCATTGATGAAGGATCATTGTTTGAAGTAAGAGCTACCGCTGGTGATACGCATCTTGGAGGAGAAGACTTCGACAACAGGCTAGTCAATCATTTAGCAGAAGAATTTAAGAGGAAGTTCAAAAAGGATCTTCGTTCCAACCCCAGAGCTCTAAGAAGACTGAGAACAGCAGCTGAACGAGCCAAAAGGACTTTGTCATCAAGCACCGAAGCCACCATTGAAACTGATGCTCTATTTGAAGGCATCGATTTCTATACTAAAGTCACGAGAGCAAGATTTGAAGAACTAAATGCCGATTTGTTCAGAGGAACTCTTCAACCAGTTGAAAAAGCCCTTGCCGACGCTAAAATGGACAAAGGCTCTATTCATGACATCGTTTTAGTTGGTGGCTCAACAAGAATACCAAAGATTCAGCAACTTTTGCAAAACTTCTTCAATGGAAAGCAGCTAAACTTAAGCATCAATCCAGATGAAGCCGTGGCATATGGTGCAGCGGTACAGGCTGCAGTCCTTAATGGAGAAACAGACAATAAAATCCAAGATGTGCTACTTGTTGATGTCACGCCTCTATCCCTTGGTATTGAAACAGCTGGTGGAGTGATGACAAAAATCATAGAAAGAAATGCAAGAATCCCTTGCAAACAATCACAAACATTCACCACATATGCTGACAACCAACCAGCTGTCACTATTCAAGTATTTGAGGGTGAACGAGCAATGACCAAGGACAACAATCTTCTGGGAACATTCAATTTGACCGGCATCCCTCCAGCGCCTCGTGGAGTTCCAAAAATTGATGTAACCTTCAATTTGGATGCCAACGGTATTCTGAATGTTTCGGCCAAAGATACGAGCTCTGGCAACGAGCGGAATATTACCATCAAGAACGATAAAGGCCGTCTATCTCAAGCTGACATCGACAGGATGCTCTCCGAAGCGGAAAGGTACAAAGAAGAAGATGAGCAACAAAAACAAAAAGTGTCTGCTAGGAACCAGTTGGAAGCTTATCTTTTCCAGTTAAAGCAAGCAGTACAAGACTATGGGGACAAGCTCAGCTCTAATGAGAAAGCTACAGTGGAGAGAGAGTGTGAAGAAGCTCTAAGATGGTTGGACAGCAACACACTAGCTGAAAAGGAAGAATTTGAGGACAAACAAAAGCAAGTGACTTCGGTATGCAGTCCCATAATGGCCAAGCTTCATGGAGGGGGCCAGCAGAGTAACTATGGGGCCGGAATGCCAGGCTGTGGACCACAAGCAGGTTTTGGTGGCGCCCAATCAGGACCCACAATTGACGAAGTTGACTAGATTATATTTTGAATTTTTTTAATCTAATTAGTTAGTTAATATTAGAAGTAAATTAATGAGTTATTCTGGGTAATATTTATGTGATATATATTTATTGTGTTTAATAAAAGAGAATATCAAAAAACATTGTTTTATTTTGGTTTATCGCAAATTCTAGCTTTTGAACAGTTATAAATACATACTCTGAAAATAAAAGCTCTTATATTAGGTCTGTTCTCCCAGAAATCACAAACCAGTCGGAGCCGATTTCATTGGTTGAAAACTGGTTGATTGCGATTTGCACCAATCAAAAATGCTTTGATTGGTTTGTGATTTCTGTTAGAGCAGACATAAACCATTTATCAAACAAACTTCCAATATAATAAAAAGAACACATCAACAGTTAAAAAGCTTATATACCTATACTCTTAACCTAGATATCAAATAAATACAATATAAAGATACAATAAAATTAACATTACTGGACAAGTCTATTTTAATACAGCTGCTATTCACATTTTTGAATCTCTATTTCAAAAATAAAATCCTATTAGGCCGGAGTTACCCAATTCCTTAATTTTTAATAATTGTCCCTAATTCTTAGTTCTTAAAAAGTTCAATTTATTTAACATTGGTTTTTTCAAAGAACAAAAATTAGGAATTAAGGAATTGGGTAACCCTGGCCTTAGAACTTGTCAGCATAACATTGCCAATAATCGAAGGCAGTGAAAAAACTACTGCTCCAAAATATCTCCATTCCCTTTTATAATAAAATTTGCTTCATTCGAGGGTATAGTCACATTTTTCTCTGTATTCAAAGGGAACTCAGCACTCTGTCGTTCCTTAATCAACCTTTCTATAATACTAGAGTCTAGCTGCAAGGGAACCATTTTTTTATCTGGAGTTACCATAAATACTTTATATTCCGATTCATTGTCTGGCCCTTCTTCTGTAGTTATAACTACTGAACCTGGAACTAATCGGTCTGAGTTTGATTCTACACTGGAACTACTTGATAATCTACGATTTCGTGCAGCATGATTTAGCATCGTAACGTGTGAATTTGTAACTGTAGTTTCTGCTTCAAGGGAGGCTTTCAGTTCATTGCCATCGAGCTTCTTGTAAAATTTCTTTTTAGGCAGTCTGTACACCTCTTCTGGAGGATCGGTGAATTTTATGGTACCTTTTGGGATTCTTCCTGATCGAGTTGGTTTGAGGAATGGTATAATTTCTTCCTCGTCTGTATCACTATGTATGGTATCTGATATATCTCCATCTTCATCGCTATCTTCAGTACTATTGATGGTAAGACATTTTCTTTTTCGTTTAGCTTTACATTTTTTTGCTTGTGTTTCTGGTTCCGAGATTTCGTTCGAGTCTTCTGAGGTTCCTTTAGCTGAAAAATCAAAATTAATAAAACTAATGTGATTGTGTGTTTATTAATTTGAAAAATGTTAAAAAAAATTTACACCAGCATATTTATATCCCAACAAAATCACTTCATTTGTTTTGTATGTGTACAGGGTCTTTGATTATATTTAAGCCCATACCTACAGCCCTTACTATTTAAAATAGGAAAAAAATTCACGTACAAAACTCGAAAGTTTTTTTCTATATTATTTTTTAACGTTATCAGAAGAAAGAAAGAAAATCGCATGAGAAAATGGAAAAACGTAAACAACTTCAACAACAATTGAACACCCTGTATATTATGTTATAAAATGACAGATATTTTCTTCCTGATTCCAAATATATAGGGTGGTAAAAAAAAAATGGAATTGTGTTTTCGAGCTGTAACTTTTTTTGTTGTTGGCCAATTTCCTTTTGTTTAGGCTTGTTTGAAAGAGAAATGAACAGGCTTATAAAGCAAAGTGAAACTTTCGACATTTGAGAAAAATTCAAAATAGCGGACTTCTTCATAAATTACCTAGCTTTGGATAGCGCTGGAACTTTTTTGTGACCCCTGCATAACTTTTTTTAATAAATTCTCTAAAATTCATCATTCTGCAAACATTTTAAGACCTCGGCAAAAAAAATCGGTTGAAAACTAAGTGAAACATTGAAATTTTTGTAAGACAAAAGGTGAAATTCGCTTTTTATATCCAAACCTAGGTAATTTTTGAAGAAGTCCGCCAATCTGAATTTTTTTCAAATTTCAAAAGTTTCACTTTGATTCGTTAGCTTGTTCAATTCTCTTTCAAACAAGCCGAAACAAAGGGAAATTGGTCAACAAAAAAAAATTAGCAGCTCAGGAACAAAATTCGTTTTTTTTTTTGACCACCCTATAGACTTTTTCACGTAGATTCTAGTGGCGAAGTCAGTTTGGGAAGTGATGGTCTATGGATAGTCTTCTAGAAATTTCAAAATAGTTGAAATATTCTTAAAATGTAAATCATGGACGGTTATCCCGGTTGCCAAATCTTCAAAATGATTCGCTTTTTAGTTTTCTATTAATGTCAAATACGCCATCCACCGTGGGACACCCTGTACAATATTATTGATCACATTTGTGAGTTTTTTTCTATCTTAGATAGTAAAGGCTGTATAGTCATTAGTCTGGCAAGTGGTAACTTGGTAGAGACGAAAGGGGGAAGAAAAGTGGGGCGTTACCTAAAAATATTCACTGACACCTCAACTGACACCGCCTGATGACAGCCATGTCTTTGAGTTCAGTGGCACCGAAAACACCAAGGAAATAAACCAATAAAATTATTAGAAAAAAGATTCTCTAATTTCGCCAATAACCACGCCACTGCGTGCTGTCCTTCAGGCTCTAACCAATAGAATCATGTTTCTGAATAATCACGCCTCTCCACATCCATCATTTCGCAATGTTGCCTGATTTTTTTTATTTCAAGATACTACACATGCCCATATAGCAAAAAAAAATATGTCACCAACTTGTTTATTATTTTGTTTCTAATTTTCGTCAAGTTTGGCAAAGCAGCAAATTCTATTGGAGTTCGCCGTTTCGCTAGCCAGACAATAGGTATGGGCTTAGCTGTAATCAAAGATCCTGTACAGGGTGATCTTTTATAAATGTTATACCTTTTCAATTTTTTCATTTGACGTTTTTGATAAAAGTGTCAAATATAAAAGTTTCAATAAATTGACAATTTTTTCTAACTTCAGCTTTGAGCGTACAGGGTGATTCAAAAAAGTGTAGCAGTGCGAAGTTATATTCTTTTAACTGGAAAACCATGTATATTGTGCGCTTATTTGTCAGTCCCCTAAAACCTGATTTTAACAATATACGGTTTGATATATCTATCTACAATAGTTATAAGAAAAAACATAAAAAGCATTTTCAAGGTCTCATGTTGAAGAAAGAAAAATTATACTATTTAAAAGCTTTAGAGAGAATTGTTTATAAACAGCCTATTATTCAAATGTTATCCAATAATTTACAAGGTGGAACATTATAATAAATCCAGATGTCTCAAGTTATTATTATAAAAAAAATAACATGGGACCTAGGAAGGGATTTTTATGTTTTTCCCAGTGGCGGCAATATGCATAAGCGGATACAAGCAATGCTTAGGGGCCCGGGCCCCGGGCACGAAGGAGGCCCTTTCCCCTTTAGGTACAAATATTTTTTTTCTACAACTGTCAAAAAATGATGATGTTCGCACACTCATGACAGTTTGCGAAGTGACACTTTTTTTCCCAGGTATTGATTTTTTAACGTTCCCATGACGCTGTGCCCGAACTAGCTATTTCGCACACTAGTACGCGAAATAGCTATTTCGTACACTGGTGTCATGCCGTCATGGTGATACATACCTGTCAGGAAACCAAAAATAATTAAAACTCACCTACCTTTGATTGAAAATGCAATTTTGACTTCGAATGATCGATATTTAAATGGAGTTGTAGAAAAAATATTGTTTGCAACTCGGGCGCGAAATATGTACTTTGGTAGCATTTCGCGCACTAGATACAAAAATAACTATTTGATAAAAAGGCTTTGAAATAAAATTGCGAAATATAATGACCGATATCGATCGATATACTTGACTGGTACATTCTTTCCAGTTGCTATCGCTGAAAGATCATTTAGTAAATCAAAAATATTGAAAAATTACTTGAGAAATTTCATAAGTCAGCATAGACTGCATGATCTTTCTATTTTGTCATCAGACATAGCACAGCATTCAGTATGGATATTCGTATAAGTTGCTCTAAAAAAATATCCAATGGATAAAGGAGCCATAGAAAATCAAAATTTAAACTATTACCGGCACTTGATTCTCTGGAAAACTTTCCTGGACCAATCTAAAGCCGGTGATAGTCAGAATTAAAACTTTTATCATCTCTGGATTCGTAGAGAATTGTTCTGAGGGCAGTCAAGGCTCTCAAGAGCCGATAATAATCAAAATTTCAATTACTCATTAGCAGGTCTTGAGTTGATAATAATCAAAATTTCTTCTTTCGCAGTAAATGGTTGATTTTAAATTTGATTCTTGATAGAAAGCCGTTTCTGAGAAGGATAAATACAAACTTCGTTGTAGTGGTGAGTGTCGTCGGTATTTCTGCATGAACTGCACTGGTCTGGAGAAAACAACTACAAAAGTCCTCTACTACCAACAAAAACTCCACAGATTTTTCTGCAGTGTCTGTGATTCCCCTACGTTAAAATACCTACATGACAAAGTTTCACACCTTAATAATACCCAAATTCCTGTAGAAAATGTCGAAGCTCTTGGAGCCTGTTTAAAAAAGAACAATGACCTTTTTCCTGTCTTTTCTGAAATATACGACATTTTGAGTAGCCACGACTTCATGTGGAAGACGCTAAATAAAAAAATGGATGACATTCACAGCCACGATACCAGAATCTCTGACAATGGACAGGAATCTTTATTTAGGTCTATCGGGGAAATGAAGCAGGATATTTTCAATTTAACTTCTGTTTTCATGGGCAATCATGAGGAACCTGTTAAAATCCAGGTTCATGACTCATCAAAAACCGAGCTAATAAAGGAAATATGCGATTTATGCAAAATTGTAAATCAGATGTCACTTGTGGTAGAAAGATTAGCTACCATAGATAAAACCGACATTAAGAGCAGTCAGCATGCGGCTAGTAAATCAATTTCGTCAAAAACCCATCCCAAAGAAGTTGCTGCGTCAGTTAAAGTTAAATCACACTCACCTGACAAACCCACCACACAAGACGATTGGCATTACGTGAATGTGTCTAGAATCTCCTATCCCTATACTGCAAACCAGATTGCCCACTACGTTAAAGAAAAGCTTGGAACTTCAGACTTTATTCGATGTTTTTCAATGCTGAAGAATAATGACAGCTCACTCTCTGACTTTAAAATCGGCGTAAAGAACAAGAAACATCTGGAACAACTGAAAGACATAGGTATGTGGCCACCCGGTACTTCAATAAATACTGCCATGTCATCTTTAGTGCCCTTGAATTATAGCGTCACCTACACGGGCTACTTCTATAACAACCTATCAACAAATTGAGCTTACTACTGACTGCAGCGACCTGAAACCTACATCCAGGCTGCAACTCAAAAAATACGACGATTAGGGAGAATAAATCATTCAAAATCAGATTCGACAAAGAGGCTATGGCTGCATGTAAGACCCATGTACTACAAACAAACTCTCAGATTATTGTAGAAAAAAATGTGAATAAGGACTTTATGCTCATTGACCCGATGACCCCACCTATAGTGCGAATGTCACAAGACTTCGATGCAGAAAATGGACGTTATCTATTGGGAAGATTGAGAGACGAGAGACCCTTCTATCTTGAAAGCTCTCCGGCATTATCTTGCCTACCTCCACGACCAACCCTCCAATGTCTGTTATGAAGGTAACACCAACACCAGCCTCAAGTTAGAGCTAGCATCAGAGGGCCTTCCTAGTGATGTGGATTTGTTACGTAAGCTATATTATCGATTTCACAATGCCTATGGCATCGGTTTAGATGAAGTGGACGCGGACCTCTCTGCATATACAGCGTTTTTCTCTTCGGAAAAAGTTCTACACCTCCAAAAAATTAGGGAGAGCCAATACAAGTATTTAACCTCTATACAAACTTCCATAGAATACATAAAATAAAAACGGGAATTTCCTTCTATGGCCCCAAATTCTATAATGTGTTACCAACCTCCATTAGAATGCTAAATTTGAATTGTTTCAAAAATCAAATTAAAAATTATTTAATTAAGAAAGCTTTTTTTAGTATAGAGGAATATACCACCAATAATTTTAATGACTTAGAGGATTGTTAGATATTAATATTGTTTGTATAAGTTCCTAAAAATTATCACTACTATATATTTGACTTGTGTAAACTTTGTAGTAATGCACCAATAAATGATTTGATTTGATTTGATATCAGGGAGTTCTCCAAGTGAAATTTTTTTTTTTTTAGAAAATGCGACGCGAGCAGGGGATCAAGCACCCTCTGAAACAATAAACCCAAACAGAGCAAAACTTACTGGAATTGGCCTCACCATATTACACATGAACATCTAGTGTCTAAGTAACTAAACACTACATAGAGCTTGAAGATGTATTGAACACGACAGCCACAGATCACCACATTATTTGTCTGTCAGAAACATGGCTGAAACCGGAGGCGGAAACATTTATTAAGCTGAAAGAATACAACCTTTTGACATCCCACTCTCGCACAGAGATTGAACATGGCAGAGTATGCATCTATGTGAAGGATAGTGAAAGAAACTTTCAAGAACTGAATGATTTCAAATAACACTGTATTGAAGGTCAAATAATTTTTTTTACACTAAATTAATAAAAAGGATAAGCTTTTAATTTTCTGTCTCTACAGATCTTGCAAGGGCAATTGTGAGGTGTTGTGTTACGTCTTCAAGGGGCTGTGCAGAGAGGTCAGTGCAAAATTTAAAAATTACAAAGTCATATATGGGCAGGTGACTTCAACATCAATCTGTCACCCGCAGTAAGTAGCGAAATAAATAAAATAGTTATTTTTATGCAACAAGTGTGACAATCACATGAGTGAAAAAAGGTGCTTTACGCACGTATTGCATACAAAATTTTTTCTACTACCAATCAAATATGTGAAAAAAAATAAATTTAGACAAATACTTTATGTACTAGTGAATGAAGAATTTTCACTTTACGCACTAGTGTGTGAAGTAATTTACCAGAAAAATGCCAAATTGACAATGTCGACATTTGTCATTGACATTACTTTACGCACCAGTGTGTGAAGTAAATTACTTTACGCACTAGTGCGTGAAGTGAAATTTTACGTCTTCTGAATGGTGCGTAAAGTGAGTACTTTACGCACGGTAGTAGAAAAACAAACTTTTAGACTTGTTACACTCGTATAATTATTGCAAATATAAGGTACCTGACCCAAATAAGGCCATGTACAGGGTTATCCAACGGAAGTGCTTTCTACCTTATATACCTGTTAATTGAAGAGGTACAAAAAAAAGTAGAATACAAAAGTTGTTGGGATTTTTATGAGGAATTAGGAGAATTTAAAAAAAAAAATGGAAAGGCGGGTTTAGAAAATATAGCAAAAAATTTAACATTTCTTGCTCAATTTAAATGGAATAACCCATATATGTTACATGTCCTATAATTAAATTCAGCAATTTTGGCAATATCGCTAATCAATGATTTTTCAATATAAATAACAAAAAAAATTATATTTCATCGTTGGAAGCTGGTTAGAGTGGTAAGTTCCCATCTAGTCTTGCTTATTACTATTGTTTATAATCATTATATTGAAAATGTGTCCAATATTAGATGAAATATGCAAAATTTTGCTTAAATCCAGCTTCACATGATTCACCTTTTACATAATTTACCTTGGTAAAAGGTGAACCAGGTTAGGCTGGATTAAAGCAAAATTTAGCGTATTTGATCTAATATTGGACACATTTTCGATATAATAATTAAAAACAATAGTAATAAGCAAGACTAGACGGGCATCTATTACTCTTACCAGCTTCCAACGATGATATATCATTTTTTTCGTAATTTATTTTGAAAAATCATTAATTAGTGATATTATCAATAGTAATATAACTAGTGCAATGGAAATAATTGATAATTTTTGGGAAATTTGCCCGAATGCATTTTTAGTTGAAAAAGAGCACGAGTGCACGTAATGCACAAGTGCCTTTTTCAGTTAAAAACGCATGAGTGCAAATTTGTCGAAAATTATAAATATATTTCCATTGCACGAGTTGTATTTAATGAGAGAATTTCATAAATCAAAAATTTAAATTTTTTGTCAAAAAATGTCAAAACACCAGTTTTCGCACCAGTTAGTATGCAATTATCTGATAATTTGCACTAGTGCAAATTATCGCGTAATTACAATCTGATTGGTTCAAATCAACAATCAAAACATGTCAATTTATTGTTGGAATACCAGTTTTGACAGATGTATGAAATTCTCACAAAAATTAGCCAGACATTAACAAACTGTTAACTGATTTCAGTCTGAAAGTGAACATTTTGATTGTAAAAAGAAGAAAAATAAGGCTAGTCCAGTTTTTTCCGTAAATACCTTCTTTTTTTTGGGAATCTGTAGTCCAGTGATTTTTGCGCTGCATTCCAAAAAAAAATAGTATATTGTTGTATTGACCTTATTTGGATCACTATGCTCCTAATATGGCCACCGTTAAAAAATGTTTAAAAGAAATACAATTATTTATAAAAATATTATTATTTGAGAAATAGTACACAAAATAGAACTTATATGTTTGCTGCATTCCTGAAAAAAACAATAATTCCAAGTACTGGGATTGTGATCCAAATAAATCTTCAAACAACTAGGACAAATGAACCGCAGCATCTCTTGCTTGGTTAGACTCCAGGCATTTCAAAAAATTTCACTCAGGTAATAATATGACACATTCTTTTAAAAAAACATTGTGATGTGAGGCCAATTGAACATTTTTCGTATGATGGGCTTATTAGGTACATGTTAAATTGATAAAAAAAAAGTCTGTAACTAGAAATCTAGCAAAGATGTTATTCTGTACTTACTCTGTAGCTTTCTCAATACATAAATATCCGTGTAAAAATTACATTCGCTCCATTCACTTTATAAACATGTGTATAAACTAATTAAGTTCCAGCCTCAAAGTTATAACGTGACATATGAAATATGTAGTTGGCCATTTTCCAGCAGTTTAAAGCTCGATGTTAAACATAGTATTCTGAAAATCTGGTGATCAGCAATAACAATAATGTCAATAATTAACAATGAGGTGCTTGCACTGACCCCTTATGTGCTGCAACTCTGGAAGTCGGGATCAAGTGTGGAACAGAAAATCTAATCTCCCATATTTTGTTTCAGCTTTAGCCGAGGCTTTAGCTTTAGTATGTTAGTATGTGTTTTGAAAAATTATAAATTTTGTGGGTTTTTTTTTTGTTTAATTTAAGTAAATGTATTTTATTGTACTGTATTTATTTTTGAAATTATTTTATTTTATTTTATTGACATGACCGACACCCTATAGGTAAAAAATGTATTTGATCAAATAAAGAGTCTTATTTTATCTTATCATTAATAAAAAAGGAGAGACTTTTGAGTAGTAGGTAAAGGTAATTTAAAGGATTGAAGGGGTATTTGGGCATTTTTATAAACCCTACGATTTTTGCTTGGATAATATTACTATTAAACGACAAATTATCGAGCACGAAAAATCTTATGTTTTTTCATTACAAGGGTAGGGGGGCCTAATTGTGATATTTGCTTAGGGGCCCAGGGCATCCAAGCGCCGCCACTGGTTTTTCCCTTTAACTATTGAGGATAAACCGAGAGATAAACATATCAAAATGTATATCGTTTAATTCAGGTTGAAGGGAAATAATAATAAATAAGCGCACTATTATTTAAAGTGCGTTTTTTTTTTAAAGATAAAAGTCAAACTGACATTAGGTTGGCAATACAATGTAAAATTGTCAATGCTATCAAATTTTTCATGTAGAAAAGGCTTGTGTTGCCAACATAGTTACTGAATTTTTGACTTGGGGAATTATCTTTAAAAAAAAACAGATTTTATAAACATACAACTTCGCTCTGCTACACCTTTTTGATGCACCCTGCATACTTAAAACTGCCTTAGTTAAAAACTTTTGACAATTTCTTGAAACTTTTGTATTTGACACTTGTGTACCTCAAATGAAAAAGTAAGGAGGGGGTGAGATTTATAATAGGTCACCCTGTACTAAAATATATTAGGTCTCTTGGCACAGTAATCACAAACCAGTCAGAGTGAATTTCATTAGTTGAAACTAGTTTTCTGACCAATGAAATTCGCTCTAACTGGTTTGTGATTTTTGTGTGAGCAGACCTATTAAAAACAAATGTAAGACGGAATTTAACCTGCCACTACTCTACTTACATTTCATTTTTTTCTCCTTTTTAGCTGCTTTCTCCTTCAAATTTTCCATCTTCCTTTGTTTCCGCCTCTCGGACTCTTCATTTCTAAGTTTTATCAAAAATGCTTCTTCCTCTTCTTCAGTTTGCATTTCCCGTTTAAAATCTGTATAATTATAACTACAAGGTTCCAGGATGGCTTTGTCGATAAGATGTCTATTAGTTCTTTCTTCTTTTTTAAATTTCAGTTTCAATTCCCTACGGGTTCTTCTGGGAAATAGTTCAGTCATAGTAGTAAAATCTGTTCCAATGAGATTTAGTGCTTTGTAGAATCTTAACGTTTCTTTTTTAGTCCAGTTTACTGTCCGCTGTGCCCTCTTATAAATACCGTACCCTGTGTCAAAGTCCCCATCGACTACAGAGGAGTTAAGTATTTCTTCTTTTCGCTTTGCTATTTCTGCATTTTCTACTATTAAACTTTGTTCATCTAGAATAATTTCTCCTGAAGGACCTATTTTTATTTGTGGCACAGGCATATTGTCTGTATCATTTTCTTTTTGTTGTTCAATTGGATCATCTACTTGTTCTTCATCATTCACTTCTTCAGTTTCTTTTTCATTGGTTTCCGATTTACTTTCGTTGGACTTTTGTTGGCTAAAAAAATATAAATTATTATAGGTTTAAAAATTCAAATTTGTAAAAGTTACCTCATAGGATTCGTTTCAGGATTATAATAAATCAAGTCAATCATTCTTAACTTATGTTTTTCAGGGGGTTTGGCACCAAAACGTCTTTGAAAATCTCTCTTTGCCTCTGCCAATTTCTTTGACTGTTCAGTTTTAACTAATTTCTTTGGCGGCATTGGAGTTTCTTTTAAAGGGACACTTTCCAATGTCGGTGTTGCTGGTTCCAGATAGGTACTAGTCGAAGCAACTGAACAAACCTGAAATGGCAGTTTTTTATTTCACTTTCTGCTAGCGAGTGGATAAATTAAAATTTCTGATCTGCTCTATGAGTTGCAAATAATTTTGAGTATAAGAATTGAATCAAATGAAAAGATAAGGTTTTCAAAGATGTAAAAGCTTACAACACAATTTCATTTACCACGTTTTTGCTCCCCGTTAAACCGTTTCAAGAGAAAACGTTTTACTATAAAACATTAGTATAAACACCCCATAACCGTTTTCATTCAAAATGTTTTAAAAACGTGTTTTAACCAATTTGAAAACGGTTCAAATACTGCGTAAACATCTTAAACCATTTTAAGGGTGTGCCACCACTGCTTGTTATGACATTTATAAACTGTTTTGGGAAAAGTCCCATAGAAGTATAAACACAGGATAAAACGTTCTAGGTTCGAAAACGTTTTACCGGTTAAAACGGTTTAACGGAAGAATAGGGAACTTGCTCATTTTTTTTTTTAAATTCAAAAATGTGTTCTACTTCACTAAAGACATAGTCATGCCAAATATCAGGCATTAAAAATCAGCCGTTAATTTTTTATAAATATTTGAAGTTACGCTCGAAACATCGCCATTTGAAACGACGGATCAGTGTGACGTCACTCGGCAACAAAATTCCGATCACAGAGACAAGCACGTCGAACTTCGAGCAGGTAGATTAAGATTATGGTTATGTTGTTATGTATGCAGTTTTTGATAGATTTGACATTGGCAACACCAGCAGCACATGACGTGGCAGCGGCACGACCCGATTATTACTGCCTTGTGACGTCACGACCCATACAAATACGTTTTTGATCGCGTCATGAATTTCGAATTATTTGGTATTTTCAATTGAAGATTTTGGACACCAGGGGCCTGTTTCATAAAAAATATTAGTCTTTAGCAGGTATTATAAGTCAAAATTATATATAATTTTGACTTATGCTTTTTGCTAAATAGTAATATTATTAGACTAATATTTTTTATGAAACAGGTCCCAGAGATAAAATAATTTTTTTTTTTCCTAATTGCATCATTTATTAGGATTATTGTTATTGTGTTTTGTTATTTATTCCATATTTAATTTGATGTGCAAGTTCCCTATTATATGTTCTATATCCAATGATTCATAGTCATTATGAATTAAGTAATAAAGTTTTTTCAAAAACACAAGTTGCTTAATTTAAAACACAACTGAAGCATAAACTTGGTAATTGTTATTAAAAAATAATTAAAAAATATACATACAGGGTGTCTAAAATACCATTGGGCCACCATTGAAAATATATTTTTTATAACCTTCGAAAATGGCAACTTTTTTCTAATTTAACCGCATATCTCTTACCCTTTCCGATACACCAATAGTGGCCTTTTGTTTTTTTGACACCCTGTATATGTATAAGTATTACTGAGTTATTCCTAATCCTTCCATACTTCCTAGTTTCGTCTTCTGATTCGCTAGCACTGCAACTAGCCTTTCTAAAACTTAATTTTGGAACGGCTTTTATTCTGCTCCTATTGATCTTGCTTGGACTTGGCGGTGGAGCTGGGTATTCTGAATCTGAAGCTTGTGATTCTGAAATGTATCTTTTATGCAGTGCTGAAAAAAATATTGTGTCAATAATAATTTTTAACTTGAAGGTGGTTGGTAAGAGTTTAATTGAAGAAAAATTTCGGATTTTCGTATTTTTTTGCCATATGCAGTAGTTGTGTATGGGCCGTAAGAGGCTTCTAGCTCTAAGAAAATCAAATTTGACTTGATTGTTTTCTCTTTACGGTTCTTACTTTTTACTCCGCTGCAGGTAGGTACTGGTACTAACACCATTGTTTCAAGGACTATATGAAGTTGGTATCCAAAATTTTTCTTTAGAAAAGTGGGTCAAGATAATATCTAATTTGGATACATACGAAAAATGACTGATGCACTTTTTTTCTGTGAAATTTCATTAGAATCAAATTGAGTTTCATTTGACATCAGATCAGCATTCGGCATAGTAGCACTATTGGCTGTTTCTGAATTTAATTGGGCAGCTTTATTCGATAATATCCTAATTTCACTTAACACTATAACTTTTTGTCTGCCTGCTGATTCATTTTGATCATTTAATGGGTTTGAATCAGTTTTTGTGAATCTTGGAATTTCCTCAGTAGTCGAGATTTCTTTAGAGCCATCAGCTACATTCCTGTTTATATTCTTAAAATTCAAGTTTACTTTTGGCTTTAAAAACTTTCTTCTGACAATGGGTTTTAATTCGGAAGGTTCATTTGTCTTTTTTTCAGTTGAATCGTCATGTAATTCATCTAATTTTGATTCAACCTCAGAAGGACCTGAAACTTCTGTAATTTTTGGCACTTCTACAATATTGCTTTCAGTTCCAGGTTTCACCCCAACAGAAATTGTAGCCGTTTCATTTTCAGTTGTTGTATTATCTAAATGGTCATTTGAATATCCTTTTTTCATTTGAATAGAGGGATTTGGATATTCTGAAGTTACTGCTGGAGTTTCATTGGAAATCTCAGTTTCAACAACGCCTACATTTTTTTTGGTGGTTTTGAAATTTAAGTTCACTTTTGGCTTTAGAAATTTTCTTCTGACAACGGGTTTTGCATCAGCAGGTTCGGTGGGCATTAAAGCTGTTTCAGTTTCAGTCATTGTAGCTGTTGAAGAATATTCATTCAAATCTTTTGATTTGGATTGGAGGTTTGACAAACTTGGAATAGGTTCTATAATTGGGATTTCCTCAGTAGGTTTACTTTCTGTTGCTACATTTCTATTATTGTTTTCAAATTTTAGATTTACCTTTGGCTTTAAAAACTTTCTTCTGACAAGAGCAGGTTCATTAAGCTTATTCTCAGTTGTAGTATTTGAATTTTGCAAATCGTTATTTAAAGGTTTTTCATTAGTATCAGAACTTGGAATATTAAGATCATCAACAGAGTAAACAAGTTCAGGATCAGATTGAATTTTATCATAATTTGTATTGAATTTACAATCTGAAGCTTGCGTTTCTGAGCTATTACCAATAAGTTTATCTTTATTTGAGAGATCTCCAGTTTCTTCATGTTCCAGTTCCCTACTACTTTTACCAGATTTTGCCTCATTGCTACCTTGATCCAACTTTATCTTGCTTTCCATAGAATTTTCTTCAATTGGAGTAGGCTTTTTTCTTGGTGGTATGTTAGCAATGCCCTTAATTCTAGTTCTTCTTGAAGCCATATTCCCAAGAAATGTTACAGCAATTTCACATGAAGTTTCTTATCCTTCTATAGATATTTGGGTATTTGTAGCCTAAATTCCAAAGCTAGAAAGTTTCAGATAATCAAAAAGCCAAAGGAGAAGATAAAATAGCAACTCTGAACTACTGATCTAAAATTTCTAACATATTGATGTTTATTTGTGTTTTGTATTGAAAGTGATTGAAAGCAAATAAAAATATTTTTCTTTTTAGTTTTTACTCAACCGCACGAATGTCAAAATTGTCAAAGAAACAGGAAGGTTATGTTCATAGGTTGACTTCTTGCATTTTTTTTTTTAATAGGGCGCCAAGCTACTCACCTTGCGTTCGGTATTTTGCTCAAAGAACAAAGCGTGCTGAGCGGAGCTGTAATCACGTGACCAACGAGCGGACAAAGCAGTTGAACGCTGTATCAGAGTGCCCGAAATTTTATTAAACGAACGCTTTTATTAAATGAGCCTGCACCAGCTACACTTTTTAAATACCGAACGTACGGTCAACTGTGGAGTGGAGTGGAGCAATGATTTATGCCCAAATGCACCGTAAGGACTATCCAGTAACTGCTAAAATCCAGATGGACTTCTTTTTTATATGCAAATTTTCGAACTAAGCGAGATATGTGCCCCAAACGCGCTCAAAATCTGCCATGGTTAATTTAGTCCATGGTCCGAATATAAATACTCGTTTTCCAGTGACAAACTTTAGGCACTCCTGAGCTGCTCTAGAGCGCCCCAGGCTGTTTATAAATAGGTGTTCTAGTGCTTCAGAGGTTCACGCAACTGAACTGCTCGTTTTTCCTTTCCCCTGCCCTCTCAAACACCTGCAATTTTATGGGTGCATTAAAAACACGACGCTTAAAGTGAAGGATAATACACACTACTATTACATAACGAAATTGCTTATCCTCATAAGGCTTGTGTAGATCAAATCTCAAACCACCACATCAAAAAACCAGTGATGACGTAGGCAGCGTGTCGTTTCTCGCCTTGATGTACGGTATTTACACCACAGTTTATGATTCCGCGGGCTTTTGCTTGTATGCATACTTGAAGGATTTTTTAGCGACTAACCGTTTGTAATCGTGTTATAAACGGTAACTAAAATTAGGCCTTTCCGGAAACGCTTATCTGATTAACCCCATCACCAGCTGTTTGTTTTTTATCTTTCTTTAATCAACACGATTGAAAAAAGACATAGTACATCAGCTGGTGATCCGGTTGATAAGCTCAACGTTTCCGAAATGGCCTAATTCGAGCGCCTCGCCTAATCTGAACTGAAGGTATTGTATTGTGACGCTGACTTTATTGTAACGGGGGTTTGAGCTCCAAGAATTCTTTGCCGAGCTCCACTTTATTTAAGCCAGGTTCAGTTGACAGGACACGGTCCAATTTGAAGTCTTGAACGCTGCGCACGCCTCGGACAATACTTGGATCGTATTAATTGTTTATCCAAGTCCAGGAGAGCCAGGAGAGGTCCCAACTTCCTAGTAACCGTGCGTTCGTTATTTTGGTCCGACTTCTCCGAGCTTGACTTTACCGTTCGTTTATTTAAAAAGTGTACTCGGTGCAGCCTCATTCGCGTTCGTTTATTAAAATTTCTGGCAATTTTATTCTGCGTTCCACTGCTCTGTTCGCTCACTGGTCACGTGATTACGGCTCCGCTCAGCACGCTCTGCTCTTTGAGCAAAATACCGAACGCAAGGTAAGTAGGCTGGCTGCCAACTTACTTGGTCCAAATATAAGTTGTCTAGTCAAGTAAGTGCAGACAAAACTTTTCCTCTTGTAATAACTATTATTGGTGAGTCTGGCAACAGTGTCGATACAAATTTTGAAATTTGTTTTAAATATAGGATTTTCTTCAAATTGCACCACTGGTTTTAGAGATAATGGATCGTCCCGTTACTTTTCATACACTCTGTAGTCTGTACCTATATGATAAAATGTGACAAAACTAGGACGTGGCAGCTCCAGCTCAAACAAATTTTCGCCTGCGGCGAAACATTATCCTTCATTTCCTCCCATTCACTAACTCCCGCTTTTCAATTTTGAAAATCTGGAAACCCTAATTGCTATACGTAAGTCTAACATAATTTGGAGCGTTTCGCCTCGTCTTGCGACTCTTGCGCGATGAGCGTTCTATGTCTTTTTTTATCTAATAAAGTTTTCGTATTATTATCTCTGGTAAAATCAATGAACTATAGTCTATAGTGGTTATAGTTCATTGGGTAAAATAGATAGGTCTATTCTAAAAAACGATAGACGATCGATACCCATTAAGCCGGTCCTACACGATGCGTCCAACGTTGGATCCAATGTTGGAGCCTTAGATTAGGGAAGAGAGTGGATACCGCGCATCCTATAGGCGCACTGATTCCATTCTGTTACCACGCGGCCATTGTTTATGTGGCAGACAAAGCGAATGCAGTGTTTGTTATTTTTCGTGTATTTTCCAGTGAAAATCAACAGTGCATTGAACAATAGTAAATTTTACGATGGTGAATTAGAATTATTCAGCCTATGGATTTAAAAGTCGCAGCGAGAAAAAGGAAGCAGGATTTTTTTTGTAATAATAAAATACCTATGTTTGAAAAAATCCTGTCTTGTCATGTTTTATTTTATATATATCAAATTTTCCCGAAAAATAATTAAAAATGCAGAAAACTATTTGAATAGCACCTCATAAGGTATTTTTATTAACCTGTGAAATTAAATTTTTTATTATTAATACCTTAAAATAAAAATAAATCGAAAATTGAAAATTATTGACGATGTGGCAGGTGGTAACAAAATAACAAATGCCCTTGAGTTGTTACGCATCCACTCTCTTCCCTAATCTAAGGTTGGAGCCAATGTTTTGACACACTACAATTGGCAAGTGTGTCTCCCACACGATGGGGTGAATTTTCAGTTCCAACATTGGACGCATGTTGGTGCCAACGTTGTCAATCTATGTTCATTGTCGTAGTCGTATTTCGTGTAAAAATAGTTCAACAGAAAAAAAAAATTAAAAATGGAAGATGAAGACATAACCTTTGCTGGCATTGCTGCAGGCATGATAGTTCTACTTTGTGCAAAATTATTACATCATTTATAGCATTTCTATTCTTGTATCCCTGATGTTTGGTATTCCATAAAATAGGATGTTTCTCATACGGTTGAATAACTTCAAGAATAAGTTCATTATTCCACTCCATTATTAATTTACAATCTACAATGAGAAAAATATAGGTTTAGCAAAAAAAAAAAAAAAAGTCCTTTGTGCTACACTGATTCTATACTAAAAAAAAATAAATGCGACAAACACATGATCGCTCGTGTAGGCGTGTGACGAACGATGGATCCAACGTTGGAAGTTCCTTTGACGCGGGTAAATATTACCGACATGAGCCCGAACATGTCATGTGGCCAACGTTGGACACATGCAATTCCCAAGTGCACGCCCACACGGTGTGTCAAAGGCGATGTGTCCAACGTTGGAAGGCATTCGCCACATCGTGTGGGACTGGCTTTACCAAATATAACAGACATTCTTGACAGACTTGGAAGAAGTAATTATTTTACTACTCTAGACTTAGCTTCTGGATTCCACCAAGTTGAAATGCATCCAAACTCAATAAGTAAAACAGCTTTTAATGTAGAAAATGGACATTATGATTTTAACCGTCTGCCCTTTGGATTAAAAAATGCCCTAACAACATTTCAAAGAGTAATGGACAACGTACAATAGTGTATTGTGTATTTAGGTGGAAAAGTTACACATTCTCGAGAATGTGCTTTTCCACCAAAATACACATACTATTTTTTCGACGATCGGTTAAATATATGTTAAATGTTTGTCTTTTTGTTCCAATTTTTTAGCAGTACGAGAATCACTTTTCCGGCCTATTCATTGATTCCTTTTAGCAACTATTGAAACATAATAAAAATACCTGAATATTGAGTTTTGCGACCTGTCAACCGGTCAAAAATGCAGACATTTCTTGTCAATCGCAGAAAAATAGGTTTACAAAACAAAATATGTCTATAGTTGGATGATATCATTATATATATATTTTTTTATTGATAACCTATTTCACTTATTTAAAGTACTCGTCAGCGTGTTTAAATCCAACATTCAAAAACGCGCGTGTTGTCAAATGTCAACTTTTTAATTATTGATTTGTCAGGAGTAGGTTAGGTACCTACTTGTAGATAACGTCAAATAAAATGTAACAAGTGTCAAGCACGAATGTAGCATTCTACAATTATTAGTAATTTATGATTTGAACGTATACCAATAAAAAAAAGTAGTGTAAAGTATTCGTGGATAACTGGTCTTTAAAGCACTTGCTCTATTTCGAGCACTCCGGCTGCGCCGTCGTGCTCAAAAAATCGCGCGTGTTTTAAAGACCTTAATATCCACTTATACTTTAATATACTATTCCACTTCTCTTCAAGAACATATTGCAAATCTTAAAAATATATTTGAAAGATTAGAACAATTCAATATAAAAATTCAATTAGACAAATCAGAATTTTTAAAGAAATCAGTAGAATTCTTGGGACATCATAACCCCAAATAGTATTAAACCGAACCCAAAACAAACCGAAGCGATAAAAAAATCCCAATCCCAAAAACCGTTAAAGAAATTAAATCATTTCTAAGATTGATAGAATATTATCGAAAGTTCATTAAAAACTTCGCTTAAATAACAAAACCAATGACAATTTGTTTAAAAAAGGATAAAAAAGTAATCCACGATTCTGAATTTCTAAAAAGTTTTGAAACTTGTAAAAATTTATTAATCAATGATCTTATTTTACAACACCCTGATTTCAATAAACCCTTTTTCCAGTAGCACAACAATATTGGTAAAATATTATATTTACATATTGGCCCAAGAATGGAAACGACAGATTTTTTTTTAATGGTCCAATATACACTGCTCAACAATCGAACTGGATAATTGCAAATATACTAAAATCCTCATTTAAAAAAATAGAAAATAAAAACGTGTTTTATATTATCAATAACCAGTTTATTGATAATCAATTAACTGTTTATTGATAATATAAAACACCTTTTTATTATCTATTTGTTTAAATGAGGATTTTAGTATATTTGCAATTATCCAGTTCGATTGTTGAGCAGTGTATATTGTAAATATGAATCCGATATTGAAGAAAAACATTGTCCCATTATTGATAATTAATAAACATGTAATATTGCTTTTAGAATTATACCCAATACCTATTTGTTTTTCAGATTGGTACAATGCATAGTTTTTATATGAATCCGATATTGAATATAAACATTTCTCCAATATTAACAATTAATAAATATGAAATATTTCTATTTACAATATTTCCTAGAAATATTTACAATATTTTTTTCTGAAAAACACATGCATTTAACCAAAGCTCTAACACCTGCAGACTAGACCGGTTCCGGTTTCGAGCTTGTTAGCGAAGCACACCAACTCAAAGAAACAGTTTTGAAGGAAACTCAAACACCAGGAAAGAGCAAGGCCATCAGTAGTGCGTGGTGCCCTCTCTCGGTAGTCCTGATTGATATGGAAAAGGTACATCTCCTATATATCACCAATATTGGATAAATATTAAATATAAACATGAATAAAAGATATTGCCAAACATGGATCGGATCCAATATTGGATCAATCTTGGATTCACATATTATATAATAATAATGTAGGAAAAAGGTAAATCTCCAATATTTTACCAATATTGGCTACAAATTGCCAATATTGGACCTATTTACAATATTTTACAAATACAGAATCAATATTTGGCCAATATGGATAAATATATGGCTGTTATATTAGAAAAATTTATTTTGCCATTATTTATCCAATATTGGTTTAATATTGCAAATAAAAACATTATCTGTCCATATTGGTCCATTAATGGATACAATATTATAGTAACATTAGAAAAAGTTGTATTGCCAATATTGGCTCAATAATGCACAAAAAAACAATTTTTTTGTGCTTATCGGTGCGATGATGGATAAATATATCACTGTTATAAGTGTTATATAAGAAAAATTTGTATTGCCAATATGTAACCAATCTTCGCTATATGCTGCCGATAAAAATATTGTTTGTGCATATTGGCCCATTCTTGGATAAACATATTATTATAATGATGAAAGAAGTTGTATTACCAATAAATGTCTAATGTTGGCTGAAAAATGCCAATATTGGGCCAACATACAATATTGGTCCAATGTATCCGCAAAATCGGACCAACATTGTCTGCTACTGGGGATACTTTTTATTGACTACAGACGCATCAAATTATGCTATTGGCGCTGTATTGTCATAAAGGACCAGTAGGCTCAGATTTACCAATTGCTTACGCAAGTCGTCCATTAAACCCTGCGGTAATGTAATTATTCCACAGTTGAGAAAGAATTACTAGCCATAGTATGGGCAACTAAATACTTAAGACCATACTTATTTGAACAGAAATTTACAATTTTATTTGACCATAAACCACTTCAATGGTTATTCTCTGGTAAAGAACCCGAATCTAAACTAATCCGATGGAGATTAAAAATAGCAGAATATCCTCCTTTACAATTAAAAATGCTATTTCCGGAGCAGATTCCAGTACAGAATCAGATTCCGATGAAAAGTTTCATAAAACTTTAAGAGCAATGTTAAAAAACACACCATTTAATAATGACGAGATAATTGAAAAATATTTCAAAGATACTTAAATTTTTAAACCTCAAAGACAAGCTAAGAAACCTATAAATAAAGGTAAAGAAATTAAAATAACTGATGAATATAGAAATATTCCATTGTCCGAATATACTTGTTCAGCAGATCCACCAGAAAGAGAAAAATTAAAACCTAAGAGTAAAATCTTGTCTCAAATGATAATACCTCCAAAAAGATTGAAGAAAAATTCAATTGAAAAAGATAAAATAGGAAAAGATTTAATTCAAGAAGATACAATTGAGAATGAAGTTATCGAAGACGATCAAACTATTCACACTTCTCTTGAAAACCCTATTCTAAGAACCCCTTATACAAAAAAACATGTAAATCTTTTTGCTAATCAAATAATTTTTAGATATTCTAATAATAATGCTATTCGCAAAGAAAGTATTATAGGTACCATTTCTTAATAAGAACCATGGAATTCCACAAAGAATTACTTCTGATAACGGAACTGAATTTAAAAATGCAATTGTAACAGATTTATGTACTTTACATAAAATCGAATTTCATTATACGACTCGTCGAAATCCCAATTCGAACAGTCCTACTGAGAGATTACATTCTACCTTGAGAGAAAGTTCAACAAGTTTGAAATTACAAAGCCCTAGTAAAAACATTAATGACCTAATGGTAATTGCAATCTTGAATTATAATAACAGCATACATCATAGTGTTACAGGTTATACACCTTTCCAAATAATCAAAGGCGATTTGAATTATTCAATACCTATTGAAAATTCACAAAATAAGATAACCACAGATTATATCAATAATCATACCGAATCATTAGAAACTCTAAATAATGCAATTCATGACAAATTAATATCAAAACAAACACAAAATTTAGAGAAAATCAATAAACAACGTGAAAAAGAACCTAAATTAAACTATTTTCATTAAGCAATTTGACAGAAATAAAATTAGTCTTCAATATGGTACTAAAACACAAGTCAGATTTAGCAAACAAATGGTGAAGCGACATTCTGTTTCAGAAAAACCAAAATGTTCCTGGTAGCTTTCATCGTCCTGTTCAATCAGAATTAACAATCGAACATTTTTGGAAGACACGCCTGAGAACTTCAACCTAGAACTAGAACTATCCATCATCGACATTCCTGAACTTCTAGAGAATACCACAACTGTAAGACTACAAGCAGTCGACCATGAAGCTCTTCAATCAGCGATTAAAGAAGCAAACAAATTAAAGACTGACCCATTAAAAGAGTTAAATTTTAAAACCAATAATGTGTCAACCTATGTTATAATCATAATCATAGTATTAAGTTCTATTTTTATAACAAATTATTCTTATTCTATATTTTAAAGGAAAATGTAGTAAAACTAAAACTGAGGTGCAGATTGAATTGCCTAACATTGTAAGTCAATCCCAATTTGCAACCACTTAAGGAGGGACGAGTTATATTATAAAACCCTACGTTATTATTATACTAATAATTCTTCTTTTCAATGTTAAACATAAGCCTACGCCATTATAAAAGCCCACGATATTATAAAGATGCTGAGTAAGCGGTACTGCCTAGAAAAGTACCGTCATATCAAGGTTTCGCCCACTCAGTTGCAAGCATCAGCAGTATTTTAATATAAATACGGCGCGCAGAGGCTTCTCTCCTTATTCTTTTGTTTTGTAGCTTAGACTATAGCAATTAGAATCAAAGATTCTTTTGTTCTCGGCTTTCGCCGCAGCAATTTAGAATCTAGTATTTTTTGTTGAAACTTGTTTTTAATAAAATAAATAGTTTTTAAAAACAAGATTCACTGAACGAAAAATATAATTTACAATACATTTTAGAAAAAAGGCTTTTATTAAGTTGTGTATTTAACTATTTTCCAAGCATAATCAAGCTGAAAACATGTTGGAAAGTTTTTCACAGAGATAAATACCCTATAAACTGTCGTTTTTTATTTGAATATTTGAATGACAAAAATTTTACTGGTGAATGAAAAAGTCCCGGTAATAACACTGACACTATACTTGTCATCATAACATTGACTGAAAGATTATATAGCTCAAGTAGTTCAAAGCATCGATCAATATGGATTTACGAAACGACCGAAAAATGTCCAGATATTCTTCAATAAATCAGTGGAACAAGCCGCCCGGAGGAAAGGATCTAAGTTGTCCTGAAATTTATAGCATCAAGGATGACGAGATTTATCCATTTTTATTGGATATGGACCCTGTCACTATCAATAAAGGAGTAAGTTGTTACCGTTGTTTACTCCGTCTTCTGAGCAGTTTAAACCACCCAAAAGTCAAGCCTTATTATTTCATAATTTCCAATTCTTGCAAAAGAAAATCATCTGAGACGGAAATCTATAACGGATAGTTATTCCTCTCGTTTTTTATTCCCGCTACCTACGTGTTTTATTCTTGCTTTGTCCCTCCAGCGGTATCCTTGAAGGCCGATTCATACTAAAGGTCAAGTCATGGTCTGATCACCGTCCGGTCTGGACACAGTTAGATTAAAATACCTATCCTTGGAAAAAAATACTGCGGTCACTTGTCTGGCGTGTGATTTGATATATCTTTTTGAATTGCTTCTGTCAAAATTTCATTGATATAAACCGCAAATTTTTCTCAGTATTCATATCATAACTGCGTTTTTTACAGTATTCATTCTGAAATTTTTTTTTGCCTCTAGGTTAAGCCATCCCAAATGTTAGCCGCCTTCAAGCTAACCACCGAAGAATGTTCGAGAAAACTTCGGTCCCCCTTACGAAAATATAAACTAGGAACTAAGAAAGACGCGTTTAAGAGGGTTCCCGAAGCAATAATATTTTTAAACTACGAAAAAGGCTATAACAATACCACGTTGACGATTATAAATCAAGCCGAGGTATAACCAGTAAAGTCTATCCAACGAATAGGTATCTACTCATAAATTGTGATGTTTATAGCAATGAATGCAAAATTGTTCACCATAGGTTAATAACTTATGGGAAGATAGGTATTCGTTAGCTAGCAGCCTGATTTACGTAGCCCGTGCATTAGAAGTAGTGGTGGGAAAATATCGAATTGAAAAACTATCGATAGTTTGATACTAGTGGTTGATTAACTATCGATATATCGATAGTACTATCGGTTTAAAAATTTAACTTATAGAACTGAAATGAAAATTGAAGATTCTGATGTACAAAAATAATTATTTAACTACAACGCTTTAGGAAAGCAACCATTTATTTTGATTCATAAATGACAACATATTTATATTTATAGATTTAAGTTTGGATCTTTTAACTGTCAAAATATTACCAGCCGTCGAGAATAACCTTTCCGAAGTCAACTAGCTGGGATACAGTAATATTTCTTGACCAGCTTCCTAAAATGCTTTTTATCTCCACATTCCTCACTGGAAATAAATAATGATAATAAATTAACTGACCCGAAATGGAAGCGTCCCCCTACGTCGACCATCTGTCACTCCGTCACTCCCATAGGTCACTCCTCTCCTGTGGTCAGAATTCACCATCAGCTGTCGACCTGTCACCACCAGTCACCACTCCTAGTTAGTCAGTATTCAGTGAGCGCTTTCTTTTATTCACCGATGGCTCCATCGATGACCTGTCTATCTTTGCCTAGTTCATAGAAAATCGGAATGGCTGTCTCATATTGCTTTCAGCAGATGGATCCATCGATGAATAAAAGAATTCGCCCAGTGTTACCAAATTAATAATACAAGATTCGATGGTATTCGATAGTCTAGGGAAAATTATCGATAGTTCGATATTTTTAATTCCGCAACAAGCTATCGATATAGCGATAGTTTCATTCGATAGTTTCCCACCTCTAATTAGAAGTTCTCCATTTTGCAAGTGGATTAGTAGAGAGAGACATCATCTGCAAGTTAATACACGGGCTACGTAAAACATCGTGTATTTTAATAGTTTTGTATTTATCTATGTTCTTTAGGTGACCCAAAATTTACATATCTACTATGAGCCTTCACGATTTTTCACTCTAAGCATGGACACTCGCGTGGGTAATTTGAGTAAAATCGCACCAGGGATGGCTCTGGTGCTGAACGTTGCCTTTGTTCCGACTGATACTTCAAGGGATTACGCGCACAAAATTGAATTTTCGAGCGGAGATACAAGTTTTATAGTGCCAATATTTGGTAGGTACCTACAAAAACACCTATATTTGTAATTACGATATAGAGGAGAGCCTGAGACAAAATAATGTTACTACACGCGTAATTTTCAACACACATGGACGAAACCTACATAGTAAGGAGCTTATTCGAGTTATAGTCCAAGAGCCGGCAATACTAACGGGTATGTGATCGTTGCAATGGATAATTTCTGCATAAAACAATAGTTCATAGTAACCTTTAAACCGAATAGATGGGTTGCCTCGATTCTCATGGCCGTAAAGTTGTTTTATAAAAAGATACTTCAAGAACCATAAGCGCAACAAATAAGAAGTACCTAAGGTTCGTTTCACCAGGGTTCATACTTGACCTTGAAACTTGAAAAAAAAGGGTTGTCGTAGATTAATTCATATGATACATACAATTTTTTTGACAAATTGAAATGAATGACGTCTGGTTAAGAACCGACGAACGTTTTTGACGTCATTGATTTGTTTCAGTAAATTTTTATTTGTTAAAAAAGGAAGGCAAATGCTGGTGGCAAGTACCAACCCTGGCGAAACAAACTTTACCTTATGCCCTTATTACATTTGTGTATTTTTCCGTGTATTTATTCATGTAGATCAGGGTGCCAACATTATTTTGTTTTTCATAATACTGATTTATGTTGCGTTTGAAGTTTTTCGGTTGTCATCCTGAACTACATGAATAAATACACGGAAAAATACACAGATGTAATATGGGCATTACAGTGTAGGGGGTTCTCATCATATGCGGGAAACACTTTATTTAACACAATTTCATGTTTCTTTTTTTGTCTAAAGACCTACAGCTGTATGCAAAATCCTCTTCACAGAGTCCTCTTTTAACTATAAATGTGTCTTTGAAGGCTGTCACTTCCAAAAATTTGTATTTAGCAAGCAAAATAAGGCGTGCGCTCGACTTTCAATGAGGGTTGCCATCATTTCCGGCCATCAAAATCGAGGCCACCCTATGTATTATTTGCGAAGACATATTAAAGAATATATCTACCAATTTTCAGCTATTGAAACGATAACATTGTTCCTTTAGAAAAAGAGGGGTAGTTTACGCCCAGCCATCAAAGGGTTGCGGCCATGAGAATCGAGGCCACCCATCCATTTAGTTTAAAGGTAACTATGAGCTTTTGTGCTTCAGCAGTAATGCAAGCCTCACTACGTTCGGCTCGCAAACCTACTGCTTCAGCACAAAAAAGTAAAGCTTCGACTCCTAATACAACAATATACTATTTTTGTTAATAGATTTTGTATTATCTACTAAACTCAACTGTTTATGATTTGGTCTAAAATACTTCCTGAACTTTCCATCCCAGGTTACATCCTTATACTCCAAATGACTTTTTATAAGTCAACAGAATTACATCATCTTCTGCCTCGTCTTCCAATAAACGTTGTCTTAAACGTTTTGACATGATTTCTGCAAGTTCACACAAATGCTGCAGTATTTTGGGATCCTGCTGGGTCGCTGGTCGATCTCGATTCGGGATCATCTGTAATTGGCTTTTTGTCGCCGCACGACATGCGACCAAGGTCGCAAGGTCGCTCCGTCTCGGTCGCCTGTCGCGATCGCTCGGAGATATGAGTTAAAGAAAAAGCATCTGAAGAAGGTGTTAATAAGGTGATGTTTGGGATTTTATTTTCAAGGTTACGTAAGGTTCAGGTTGCGACTCTACATTTTTATTCGTGGTCTACCGATTACCGGTACTTTTGCTCAGCGTAGGGCAGAGTTGGGAAGTGCTTTGCGTGCGGAACGCTTAGGTGAAGTCGAAAAGCCAGTAGTTTCCCATTTTGATGCTGCCTCTGAAATTTGTTTCTGCGGAGTTATGCTATATTCGGTTGAGTAAAACATTTTAAATTTTCATCATGACAATAAAGAAAGGGAATTTAAACGATTGATGACGCTGCTAGAACATATTCATTGGCGTATTGCTAGAATTCAGCCATCCATGGAGCCTGATCAACTCCTCAAACAAGATTTGACTTCAAAATGTGACTCACTGTATAACAAACTGAAAAGAATATATCAAGGTCTGGACAACCTTATTACTTCGCAAGTAAACACCCATACGGGTAACCCTGTCATTCGTGTCGATCCACATGTCTTGTATGACTTGGTTGATTTATCTGATAGTGAATCATCCATTTCCAATGGGTCTCATCGTGAGAACGCGGATGGACATGGAGATCGCCGTAGACGTATTATTGTTCCCAATGGGCATCTTCTTGATTCTGAATCTTATAATCAAGAATCTAGACATTCGCGAACTAATGCATCAGTGCATCCTGAAAAGCAGGTGTCTCCAGAACCAATATCCTCCTCAAGGCCACCTTCTGTTAATGGTTTGGAAAATTTGCACGAAAGAGTTCCTTCCATTGAACGGGTCTCAGGAAGAAATTCCTTATTGGACGCTCCTTATTCTAATATAGAATGGCCAACTTCACGTTTTCCCATTCGATCAAGGTCTGCTGGACAACCTAATTATTTCCAGTCGACGGCTGTTGTTCAACCACCGGATGTCCCTTTTCCACCTCATCGTATTATTTTACCAGATTCTGCTTCTCTGAATAATGTTCCCAACAACCCGAGTTTAAATAACAATCCGACAGTGACGAATAGAAGTAACCAAACCAATCGTATACCTCAAGTACACTTTTCCAATCCAGAGTGTATAAATTCTACTACCGCAGGGGTGAATTTGTCTCATTCTATCTCGGTGGCGGATCTCGTTGATCAGTTGCGTTCTCTGAATTTTTCGCCTCTGCATAATCGTTCAGCATCGTCTGACTATAATTACAACCCCCCTGGATATAAAGATGTAAATCGGTGGAATATTAAATATACGATGGACATGAGCTTACCAAATTTTTTGGAGAGAATCGAGAAGTTGCGATTGTCTAGAGGAGTTTCAAAGAATCACCTTTTGCACTCTGCTTCCGAATTATTTGTCAAAGATGCTCTTTTACGGCACCGTACTGGTATATTCCAATCTTGGGACGACTTAGTGAGTTTTCGTTATGGGACAAAATTCGAAGGCGTACTCAAGGTGCTCATGTGCGCGTCATAGGTTCCGTAATCGCCATGGAGAATCTTTTTCATAAGTTGCCCCAGGAATCATCGGCAGATATTAAATTACAGCTTCTTCGTAGAAATCTTCTGCCTTATTTGCAAACACGGTTGACCACCCAAAATATTTCTTCTGTAATAGAACTGATTGAACTGAGTCGAGCCGTTGAGGAAACCGAGTCGCGGGTACAGCGTTACTTGCCGCCTCCAACGAATTATCGTTATCTGTTCGAGCCAGAGTTAGCTTATCACAAGCCTTCCCATGCATCTACAGTCCTAATCGATACCGAAGTAATGTCGGATGGGAAACCCCAGTAAAGATCAACAACTTTCCCTATTGATTGCGAAAATCCTAAAGTTGATGTGATATCAGAGACTGAATTTAAACCATTTTGTTGGAATTGTAGGAGAACTGATGGTCATAGATTCAGGCAGTGTAACGAGCCCGAGCAGAAATTATGTTATTGATGTGGTAAACCGGACGTTATAACTCCTTCTTGTACAATTTGTTCAAAAAACCGACGCACGGCAAGGTCTTATGCCAAAGGTCTTGCCCAACATCGAATCCAGAGGCCAATTTTCCTTCAAAGTTTATATTAGATTACGTCCTCGCTCATTCTAGAAATGATGAACGTCCCTATCTACAAGTTGAGATACATGGAAAATTTTTCCTTGGTCTTCTTGACAGCGGAGTTTCAAAAACTATTCTTGGGGAGGCGGGTTGGAGAATGTTGAAATCCCTTTGCAGTCCAAACCTACAAGTTCATTTTGTACTGTGGCAAATGGACAAACTTGCCAATTTGTTGGTTCAGTTTTGGTTCCCATTCGTTTTCGAGATCGTGCTGTCCTTATTGACGTTTTGATTGTTCTTTGTTCATACTTTAATTCTTGGAGTTGATTTCTGGATAAAAATAGGAATTATTCCCGATCTTCACGATGGTGAATGTAGCTTTTGTTTAAATGATACCATCCCTACCAAAATTGCCGCTATCCAAAGCAGAAGCGATTTGTCTTCTGACCAAGAATGTATCTTGAAAACTTTGGTTGATGAGACTTTTTCGAAAATGGGTGATAAGCTTGGATGCACCAATCTAGTCGAGTTGGTTAATAAAACTGATTCACCCCCAATAAAACAGCGCCATTATACGCTGTTTCGAGTTTCACAAAATGAGGTAAATACTGAATCTCCATGGGCTTCCCCAATCGTTATGATGAAGAAGAAAACTAGCGGATGGAGGTTTTGTGTTGATTTCAGAGCCTTGAATCGAGTCACCATCTCGGTCTCGTATCCTCTTCTATGGGTTTCGACTATGTTGGATACATTGAGAGACGCTCACTTTCTCTGTACTTTAGACATCAAATCAGCATATTGGCAGATTCCTATTTCAGAAAGTTCCAAGCCTCTTACTGCGTTCACTGTTCCATCCCGAGGTCTCTTTCAATTTAAGCGAATGCCCTTTGGTCTTACCAACGCTCCTAGTGTCTGGCAACGCCTTATAGATCGAGTTATTGGTGTTGAGTTTGAAAAGTACGTATTCGTCTATCTAGATTAGATGATGTAGTGATTTGAACTTGCTCCTTTGAGGAGCATATAAAAATATTACGCGAAATAATCGATCGCCTCACTGGGGCTGGTTTAACCCTTAAAAAAGTGAAATAAGGTATCTTGGGTATGTGGTCAACTCCTCCAGTCTGTTGGTTGATCAGGACAAGATCAAGGCCATATTGGAAATTCCTCCTCCCAGGAACGTCAGCGAGGTAAGACGAATAGTCGGTCTGGCGTCATGGCATCGAAGATTTGTGTCTAATTTTTCCACTATAATTTCTCCACTAACTTCTTTGACACGCAAAAATATATGAAATTTATATGGAATGGAAATTGTAACCAGGCTTTCGAAACCATCAAGGAATATCTTGTAAATTCCCCTGTGCTGTCCTGTCCCGATTTCGACAAACCTTATTGCATACAGTGTGATGCCTCTGATTTTGGTCTTGGTGCGGTTTCAACGCAGATCCAAGACAAAGAAGAACACGTCATATGTTATCTCAGTCGCTCTCTTAATAAAAATGAAAGAAAATATACCACGACCGAAAACGAATGCTTGGCAGTATTATTTCCTATCGAGAAATTGCGTCCATACATCGGAAGTAGGTACCAAATTTACAGTTGTCACTGACCACTACAGTTTGAAGTGGCTCAACTCAATCAAAGATCGAGTAGGACGAATTGCTCGTTGGGTTTTCAGGCTCCAACAGTACCTACGATTTTTATGTTATTCATCGTAAGGGAAAAGAGAAGGTTGTTCCCGATCAGTTCCTGTTCCTGTTATTGATGACGCGTTTACTACCCCGACGGTTGTACCTATTGATTCCGAATTACCTTTCGCAACCTCGGATAAATGGTACAGGGTGATCTATTATAAATGTCACCCCCTTCTAACTTTTTCATTTGACATTTTTGACAAAAGTGTCAAATACAAAAGTTTCGAAAAATTGTCGAAAGTTCTTAACCGAGTTCTTAACTAAGTCAGTTTTAGACATACAGGGTGTGTCAAAAATGTTTAGCAGTGTGAAGTTATATTTTGTAAAATGGAACACCCTGCGTATTGTGCGGTTATTTGTTAGTCCCTTTTAACCTGGATTTCAACGATATACGATTTGATAATATGTCTATCTTCGATATTTATAGGGAAAAACATGAAAATCCCTTTGAAGGTTTCATATTGAAAAACGAAAAATTTGGAATTTTTTTTTTTATAAACATTTTATTGTTCAAATTTTATTCATTAATACACAAGGTGAAATATTATAATAAATCCAGGAGTCTAAGTTATTATTAGTATTTTTGAAAAAATAACATAAGAGACTTAGCAAGGGATTTTCGCGTTTTTTCCTATAACTATTGAAGATAAAACCCAGAGATAAACATATCAAACCGTATTTAGTTGAAATCAGGTTGAAGGGGACAAATAAGCGCACAATATATAGGGTGTTCCATTTAAAAAAATATAACTTCACACTGCTGCACTTTTTTGACGTACCCTGTATGCCTAAAACTAACTTAGCTAAAGACTTTTCACAATTTCTCAAAACTTTTGTATATGACACTTCTGTCAAAAACGTCAAATGATAAAGTTAGCAGGGGGTGACATTTATAATAGATTAGGGATGCGATTTTTAGTACTTTTTAATGAACTAGTTCAGTAGTACTGAATCCTCAAAATGTACTAGTACAATGTACTAATTCTTTGGTACATCTACGAGAAAGGGAAACAAGGGAGAAAAATGCAAAAAATACATATAGAAACTTTATTTAGTATTCAACAAAAATAATAGTTATTTATACACCAAGTGAGTTAAATGAATGTTTATTCATGAGAAGAAAGTTTAACCCACGAGCCCTAGCGAGTGGGTTAATTTTCTTCGAATGAATAAACATTTTAACTCACGTGATGCATACAAAATTTTATCCCATTTTGTGGAAATTTAAAAAATAAAGTACAAGGAAAAATGCCAAGAATGAGTTAAAAATATTTTAAATCACTGAGGTTTCAGATTTTTAGTTGGGCAGAGTGACTTAAAATGCCGAGAGTGAGTTAATGTTTTTATATGTATTACGATGAAAAGAATGTACTATAATATTATGGGACTCTAATGTTATGGTACTAGTACATAGGTATAGCACATTTAAAGGATCAGTTCAATTGTACTAGTTCGTTCATGTACTTCACATCCCTATAAAACCCTATCACCCTGTACAAAGGTTTGCTTGGGAATGTAACCAAATCCCCTTCTGAATATCCGCTTTGGTATACCAATAAAGGAAACTGTTTGAAAAAGCTAAACTGAGGTATTCCGCTTTGTCATCCCTGAGTGGCTCTTGGTTGAAAGTTGTACCGAAGGATCAACGCTCTAATATTAATAAAATGCATCACGATCCCCCTACGTGCGGACATCTGGGTGTCTTTAAAACAGTTTCTAGGATTGCCCAAAGGTACTAATGGCCACAAATGAAAAATCACGCCCAGAAGTACCTACTTCAAACTTTGTGAGGTTTGCTTGAAAACCAAACCTGAACAAAAAGCTCCCGTAGGTCAAATGGGTAGTTTATAGCTTCCAGACCTTGGGAAATTATTACCATGGATATCGTTGGTCCCCTTCATCGCTCCAGTTCTGGTTATTCGTATATCTTCACCGTATCGGATGTTTTTAGCAAATTTTGCTTGTTTTTCCTCTTCGTTCAGCTACGTCTAGCAGTATTTTAAAATGGTTGGAAGATCATGTCCTTTTAATTTATAGTGTGCCGAGAAAGATTATTTTGGACAATGGACCCAAATTCGGAGTAAGGTTCTCCAAGATGTTATGAAGGGTTATGGCATTGAGACCCATTATACAGCCAACTATCATCCACAAGCCAACCCGGTGGAACGAATTTATCGAACCATTCTTTCCAGTTATGTGTGCAAAGATCATCGTCATTATTGGGATAAGTACTTGGTCCGCCCGACATCAAGTCACCAACTTGACTCCAAACTTTGCGGTTTTTGGGCGTGAGGTAAATTTGCCTCATGATGAGTCTACGTTTTCGGTTGAAGATCCTGATACTTTTGACCCACTTAAGCGATCTCGTGAGTTACGTGAAGTGTTTACGGAGATACAGAAAAAAATAGTTCGTGCTTATGAGAAAGCCAGTCACACCTATAATCTCAGAAAACGTGATGAACGAGTTCGTCTTCATCAAAAAGTATGGAAGAAAAACTAGCATTTATCGGACGCTGCAAAGAACTAAACGAAACTAGTCTCAAATTTTTCTGGTCCGTCACTATCTCGAGAGTACAGGGTGGCCCAAATTCGAGCCTCATCATTGGGATCTCCGTAACCGTAAGAGATACGGGGTCGGTTAAATTATGGCAAAGTTGCGCAATTTTATGACCAATAGAGTGCCGTTTTGAAACTAGAAAGATTCCGAATACTTCCGGAGATATTCGGAAAAAATCGAAATTTTGTAAAATCGTTTTTATTTTTTCCCGGGCTTATTTGAAAAGCAATTTTAAAATAAATGTCACTTCATCATTGTCACTTTTTCCCCTTTAGAAGATGGTGCTATTAAATTTAAAATTCGACGTTTCGTCTTCAGGCGACCATCCTCAACTTCATTTTTTTAAATACGGACCTGGATTTTTTATTTGCGATTTTATCATCTTTGGGTTTCCCAAAACCGATACTGTTTATAATTTTACCTACGAGCGTGCGGTAAAGTGCTCTTTACCGCACGTATTTGCAAATGGAAAGTATCACTTTACCGTACACTATGCGGT